GGAGTAAACTTGCAATTAACAGGCATCCCATCCGGGGCGCGAAGTCATTCTCCTGGTCACTTCATGCTTTGGAAACCGGGATGAGCTCCCGTTGAATGGATTACTACGCTCGAGTACAGACAGCGAAAGAGTTTACTTCTACACACTAATATGGAAAAACATATGATAAGGCGGCAAAAGATTTAACTAAGTTTAATGTGTACGTCATGAGAGTATATAGACACTTCAAAACTATGACTAACATCTAGTTTTGTTTTGTTTTTGTTGTTTTTTTCATCACGATTTTAGAAAAAAGACTGGAATAAATGTGTAGCGAAGATCCAAAGTGATCCTTCAATCGAGCTTGGCAATACAACTTTGATTAGTGATGATGACATCATTTACCAAACATACAGGACTAAAGAGTGTACCTCCATAGTCCACCAACAATTTAGCCGCCCTGCACCTACTCAGTCAGAACTTGAATTTCCAATAGCTTTCACGATCTCCGTGTACAAATCAGCCTCGCTCTTAGAGAAACTCCTTCAAGCCATTTACATGCCTCAAAACCTATACTGCATTCACATTGACTTGAAGTCTTCACCAACTTTCTGTGCAGCGGCAACGGAGTTGATTCGATGCTTACCGAATGTGCTATTGGCGAAGAAAAGCGTCGATGTCATTTATCCGCATATCAGTATCTTATACGCGCAGTTCAATTGTATGGAGGACTTGCTCAACACTGGCAAAGACTGGAAGTATCTGATTAACCTCGTTGGCCAGGATTTCCCTCTTTATAACAATCGAGAACTAGTGCGCGCCTTACGCGCGCTAAACGGTAAAAACAATATTCAAAGCTTTCACCATCCTGACTTAAAACGTCGCACGCAGTATGTATACGAGTTCAAAAGACAAATGCAAGGTTCAGACCACAAAGCATACAAACCTGTCAAGACATCTCGAAAGAAAAAACCACCACCCTACAACATCACTCTTTTTAAGGGTGCAAACCACGTCGGGCTTACAAAAGGATTTGTGGAGTATATCGTATTTAACCAGACTGCTCGCGATTTTATTGAGTGGCTTTCAGATACAAGGAGTCCACCGGAAACTTTCTACTCTTCTTTACAACAACACCCCGGAGTTCCAGGGGGTGTCATTGGCTTGCAGCCCGCGTTTGTTATGCGTGCTATTGATTGGTTTGACAAAGACAAAAATGAGGCGAACTATAAATGCCATGGAAAATGGGTGCGGCAAATATGTTGGTTAAGTGTTCGCGATTTACGTTGGGTTCTAGGCTGGAACAAGCGCAACATGTTGTTTGTTCAGAAGATACCATTTGATGTCAGCGAAGATCTACTGCGTTGTTTATCAATCGCTCGGGAACTTAGAGTTTATGGAAGTTATTTTTTCGAGACAGGGATGAATTCCTCAGACCCGTCGTATCTAAGTTTGAATGTTGACCAAGAGGTGATAAACGTCATGAATCAATAATTACTTAGAACCAAGACAAAAGCAAATAAGTAAGTAATTTAATAAATATTTATGAAAAGCGTATTCAAATTAACACAATTTTAAGAATAAAAGTTCGATAACTTTCCAAAGCCACTGAGTCACTGTTTTTTTCCCCGCATTTTTTTGTCTTCCAAATGACTGAACAATAATTTAAAGGTAAAATCATGATATCAGGGATTTATTGAAACTGTTTCTGTAAACAAAAAAATTGCGTTATGAGATACGTGAACTGCGAAAGGTGAAGCATAATGTAGGTTACGACAAGAATGAGAAATAAAAGACTCTCTATTCTGAGCCGCGAAATAATCGAGACTTTGACAAAATTCCCCTTGGCATTAACACCAACGCTCAAGGAAATTATCTACATACATATTACGACGCATTTTCTGTTCTTTCCTACAAAGTCATAGCGAGATCTCCAAAACAGATTTGTCGAAAACAGAAGTTTCATTCGTTCACACAGGCCTTTTTTGTGCAGCATAAGCGTGAAAAAAAAAGTCAGGTAAGTTGCCGAAGAATTCCCAAGTACATCACGAATTTCAATAATTTCGTGAAAATACTCACAAGGAATGGATTTCCCGAAGAGTGAAATATCTGTTTTCGACAAAGCTGTTTTCGTCAAGCTCTATACGGCACGCCACAATCGATTTGTAAATATTCCCCTTGAGCAAGGCACCAACACACTCAAGGAAACCATCTAAATAACTGTTATCACATAACGATGCATTCACTGTTCTTTGCCACAAGGTCTTGGCAGGAAAATCTCCAAAGAGACCGGTTGTGACGCTGTTAAACGCGTCTACTTCGACAGACATATGACCGTCACTTAAGCAAAAGGTCAACGGTTTGTAATAATGGCCTACCGTGTATTTATAGTTAGGATCAGTGACAACGCAATGCGAACACTGACCGTAAACGCTGTTCTGATCTTGCGGAAGAACACGCGAGCAAGACCCACAGCCAATATACACTATTTTGTCGAGCTTATTGCGCAGTTTAGTGCTTGCGGATTCGGTTTTGTCCACAACGATGACCTCATTTGCACTTTTAAAACGAACAGATGAAATCTTAGCTTCAAATTCAGCAAGGCCAGTGTATTTTGACTCAAGCAGATCTCGTATGTTTGCGAATTTAGTTATTTCCGTGACGCCTCCGTTAAATCGTGACATGATACATTGGGCATTTTTGTCTTGCGGATTCAATTTGTACATTGTTGACCGGGACGTTGAGTGTAGCGTCATGCGGCCACTGTCACTGTTGAACTTAGCGGTAATGAACTGGAATTCCCAGATTTGCCCAAATCCTTCTCGCAGTTGGTTTTCCCACGCAGCCTGTCTTCCCCACAAAAACAGCTCTACTTCCTCGCTTGGGCGGTCAGATAGAACTGGGAAACAAAACAGACGAAAAAAGTATAAAATATATATGACTTAATGATTAACATTCGTACATGGTAGTTTGGTTATGCTAAAAAACATTGGTTATTAAGGTTTTGAAGCTACAAAGAAATTTATAAGGAAGTAAACAAACAAACAAACAACAACAACAACAATACAGCAAATACACAAACAAGAAAATAACACACACACAAACACGAATTTCGTTCAACACAGGCCCGCGCTCGTTCGACAAAAAAGGGGTTATGTCCGCGCACTAATAAAATTCTGCTCGCAACTCGCTAGCCGGTGCTTGCAAAGAAACAATTTTTTGAGGGTAGGCACAAAACACTTACTTCTCTCACCCACAGTCAGACGCTCTATTAACAACGCTACAAAACAAAACAAAACAAAACAAAACAAAAAACAAAAAGACCCGTTGGCAAGATGTACCTTTTACTAACAGTAGTCCTTATTGACATAAATATCTTGCAGACTACCACTGCTTACCTGTCGATATCTTGGTCAGCTGTTGCACACCAAAATGATAGGTGTTTGATGACGACGAAGCCCTGTGGACACTGATCAGTTTGCCTCTAAAGTGGACCAAAGTATTATTGTGAAGATGAGTAATTTCTGTAAATTCAACATTTTTCTTTAAATGGCCCCCAGTGAGAAGGTATGAATGCTCTGATCTAACCCACGTCACAAGGGAATTAAGCCGTACTTGTGAAACCAAGTTTAAACAACCTTTTGAGAGGGTTGCTCTGGGCTGATGAAGGTTGTAAAATCCCGAATTGAAAGTTGTTTTTCCAACATATTCATCGCGCCATTTCCCAATCTTGATAGCAGTTGCCACAGCAAAATCACCTGGATTTATTTTCTCAGTCCATCTGGACGCCTCTCTCCATAACGTAAGCTTAAAACAAGATTTGGAATCATCAGCAATAACCAGTGAAGACAGAGCGACAAAGTTGCCAGCACTCACACCTGATTTGACTTGAACATCACGAATGTCATTCACTTGGGTAACAATAAAGAACATGTTTACGATAGAATTCTCCTCAGTACAGTCTCTCAGCAGAGTGAGGTTCCCACTGACTCTGGGTACCATCAGTACACAAGGAGAAGAGCCCTGCTCGTGAGAGTTAATGTCATTTTGAAATGAAACATTTAAACTCCCTCGACAGCTGATTGATATGGGACTTCGCATTCTGGCTTCTCTTTTAGCTGGGCTGCAGCTATCACTTGAAGAAAGGTACTTGTCCTGAGTATAAATATCTTCCATTGTCAGTTGATGTGTATCAATGTGATCAAGATTCTGATATTCCTCAGCCTTCCTCTTCAGCCCTCTGCTATCATGATCAATATCTCCCCTTGAACTGCTGAAACGTTCAGCTCTGTCATCGACAAGAAGCTTTTGACTAGCAGATCGTATATCTTCGAATTCTTTCTGAAGAGCATCGCTGTGTGAAGAGGCATGTTCGTCGTCAGGTATGTGAAATTCCGCGTCAGATCCAAACGGCTGAGAGGACGATGAGGAGCTAATGTTTTCAACATTCTTAAATTCACTCTCAAGGTAGAAACAAACCGATTCCTGTATCGCCAGTGGGTCATACTCGATCGTAACGTCACTCTCGTCAGTGAGTTCGACATCGTTACCATTGTTGTGGACCTTGCGATCGCAGACCACGTTTGAGTTTTCGTTGAAACTAAAGGTTGTCTGCTTCCAGCAATTGCTAGAATTTACTCGAACCTCTATGAGGCGCAAAGGGATACAAATGTCACCTTCAATATCAACAACAGTAACAAAAACTCCATCAAATAATTGCGTAGCTCCATTGAAAAATAGGCCAAAAATAAGCACAGAAAATAATCAGCCGAAAAGAGGAATGGAAGAGGAATTTTAAGTTAGCACTAGGCCAAAGGTAGAAATAGAAAAACCTACCTTTCTGTTCCTCTATTGACGTTTTCTGAAGGCAATCAAAGCATAAATTTGGGGCAGTGAAAATAAGAAGTTTGGAGGTGGTCTCATGAATTTCGTCCGCCATGTTGAGTTTAACTGGTCAGCTGTTTCAAAGCTACGTATATGCGTAAGATGGTTGTCTTTGTCAGAAACACCGCTGATAATCTAACACACGTGAATGTTGTGAAGTGGAATAAGGAATAAACTTCTGTGAATTGATCACAGGAAATGAGCACCAAAAAGGGAAATAACACGAAAAAGGGCCAGAGACATCAAAACACGAAAGCTTTCAAGAACAATCTTCATGATACAAGCAAAAAGACAAAGCAAATCAATAGTTTGAAAGTTGGTGGAGTTTGCGTAAGATGTCGTGAGATCATTGAGTGGAGAAAGAAATACAAAAAATACAAGCCTCTTACAGCGCCAAAGAAATGGTAAGTGCTTTTTATGTACAATTTCTTTCAGAGGAATGATTTTCGTTCTGTTTTTAAGCTTTTATAGCTTACTTTTCTTTATCATGTTAGTGGTGCATGGGTCTAATCTCCCTTGAAATTAGACCTGAACCAAATTTCCTTTCGTTAGCAGATCAGGAGAAGAGCCTTAAACTGCTCAAATAAAGCTAATTGAAATGCTTGCCTCAAGAGAAATATTTGTTGAATGTTTTGTTTGCGATTTTAGTCCCCGGTTTCGTGGGGTGTGCAAAACGTTCTCACAGTGAATTTTTGGGCAAAAGTAATGGTGCTACCGATACCCATGTAGCTTATAACATGAATCCCTCAGTGAACAAGAGCCATTCGTGGTATTGTATTTCCTCTTGTATTTGCTGACAGTAATTTGTACCTTTTCAATTGCTGTTGTGTAACTGTAATGGGAAATAGGGTAATTTAGTAAATTATCAACTGAGTTGATAATGTAAATTGCCCACTGTAAAGAGTTTCAAAGCTGATGTTTAGAGAATTAACCCTTTGTCAGAGCAAAATGATGAAGGGCTGATGGAGCAACTTCAGAATACTCAGCCACTCATTTACATATCATTGAATAAGAATAGCGTCTATTGTGTTATGCCTCAATCTTCAAAGCCTCCTGACACATGTAAGTGAGGCGGACCAAGTGGCCAGGTATTCTGAAGTTTAGCCGGGCTGACAAAGGGCTAACGCTCAAAATGCCAGCTTTGAAACTCTTTATGGTGGCCAATTCATGTTATAAACTCATTTGATAATACTAAATTACCCTGTTATACTCTCCCACTGACACAGCACCACAGTTTCTTTAGAAACATACCCCCTTTAATTAATAAGAAATAGATGCTTACATTATCATAGGATCAGTCTAGTGGATTGAGAATCCTAGTAATTACTGTGTGCAACTAAAACAGTTTTTATATATAAATTTATATGTTTACTTTCAGTGTGAGGTGTGAGCTGAAGACAATAAAACATGCTTATCACACAGTTTGTTCTAAATGTGCACAACAAACAGGGGTGTGTGAGAAGTGTGGGGAGGTGCGAGAAATAGCAGCAAAGTAAGTGTCAGTCACATCTAAAGTGACGCTTATCACTGGACTGAGAGAGTATGCCCATAGGTTTTTATAAATAAACCTTGGATCATTAGCTGTCTGGATCCATTAACCCTTTAACTCCCATGAGTGACCAAGACAGAATTTCTCCTTGCAATATCAATAAAACATCAACCAGATAAATGATGAGAATAAAGAAAAATATAAATTTGTGGTAATTAGTTGATCCAATACTAAATTATCTGAACAAACATTATAAGAACTGTATGCTTGACAGTAACAAGAATTACAAATTTGATCTGGGAGTTAAAGGGTTAACCCCATACACCACAACATCAATATATATATTCTCCATACATTCTTTAAACATTTCCTGTAGTACAAACAAGGAGAATTTGTTTAACAATCAAAGCGTCTTCCATGTAGATTTGCAATCCTTTACTTTATTCTTGTGATCTTAATAAATGATTCAGCAGAGGGAAATAAGATGATGGCCATTCTTAGGGTCAGGGTGAAAGGACTGGGTCAGACCAGGGTTATGTATCAATTGTTCAGCTTTAATCACTTTATCACACAAAATAAATTATTAATTTTGCTTAAGGTCTGAACCAACACCAGCAGAAAGAGCCTCAAAGGACAGTATGTTACAACAAGAAATAAAATCTATGACAGAAAGACAAAGAAGTAGGTCATCAATGTTGATTATTTTTACCATTTATTGACACATAAAGAAAAGTCTACACAAGATCTGATTCATTTCTCTTTATTTTGTTATATTTTGTACTTCATTTAATTCTTTATTTATTAAATAGCAAAGCAAGTTCTTTTGAAATTATAATATCAGTAAGTATTATCTGTATGAGCTACTGTTTTAAGTTATCTCAGTTTATTATTAAATTCAATTTTTTTTTGTGATTTTGTTCCATATGTATGATTTGTATGCCAATTAAAAGTCTTCACCCAGTATTTTTTTACCAACAACTATTTGCGAGTATCTCTTAAATTAACTTTGAGTAAAATTATAAACTATTTCTTCCGGGGACTTTCTTCAGAAAATAAAATTATAAACTATTTCTTCCAGGGACTTACTTCAGACATAATGAAGAAGGAGACAGAGAAGACACAAAACAAGTTGCTTGTGCTAGTAATACATCAGATCTATCCTCCAATGAAGATGATGATGCAGAAATGTCAGAACCCCATGATGAGGATGATGAGCTGCTGGCTTCTTGACATTTGACACAACTACACTGAGTACCTGTAACTGAGAAGCTCCAACTTAGACATGCAGGGAGTGTTCTAGGGCTTAACAGTAACTGATTCATGTTGCCATGGAGTTGCTCAAATTCATCACAGTGTGTGCCAAGCATTAACAGCCATGTCTTGGTTGTGGTGATATTGGTCAGTGGGAAATTATGAATGTAAATTAATAAAGAAAAATCAGTTGCAAAGTCACTCATAAACTGTATGTTATGCTCTTATGCCTTAAAGAAACTTTTAATGCATATGAAACTTTAAAGCTTGAACATCCCTACACGAGTCTCTTTTCCCTAGCAGTTTTCCTCAAAGAATTCTTTAATTTACTTTTTCAATCAACGAATAAGCAGAATTAGTTTTCTCCTGGACATATCTCTTTGTCTTAAAGCTTCCCAATTCCCTGAAACAGCAGGGTTTTATTAATTTTTTTTCTCTTAACCTTTTCACACAGCAGTTTTTGATAGGAACAATCAATTCTAAGTGAAGAATTTTTGATTCAGGAATGTATTGTATGATGGATTAAAATATCATCTTCATTCTTGTGCCAATTCTACCAGATGTAAGTTTGAATGGAAGATGGTGGCACAGTCTCAGTGATGGTACCATCTTGAGAATTAATTTGCAATTCAACTGCAGAGTCATCTTTGTTGAGTATAATAACTACTGTTGACGTGGATGGTGCTGGAGTAGTAAAACCAATGAACTGAAGGGGAGATTTGCCACTTGCTGTAACCTCAATTCTTTGTGAGCCAGGAGGCACAAACTTACTAAAGTGGCCCAAATGATAAAACATTGGCTGTGAATAGAAGAATCACCAGAAATTATAGCATCAGTAACTGGCACTGAAAATCCGGGCAGAAAAGATATCTATGTATATATGTATTTATATGTCAGAGAAATGCAAATAATTGTGGTAGCCTTTTTTATTTTTAGCAAGAATGGCCGTTGTCCGTTTTATCTTCATTGCCCTGATTTTCATCATTGTCATCATCATCATCATCATCATCATCATCATTACCATCTGTTGACTGCTGTGCAACTGATCGAAAGCAAATTTTTGAATAGTTTCCTTCTGACTGTATGGTGAAGTGTGCTTTAGAATTCTTTTGTTTTTAACCGTTTCACAATTGGGCAATATGCGTGAGATTTTTTTATTTTCATCACTGGCTACAACTTTACCCCAAAAGCCAATTTTTTTAGCAGATGACTATAACTTTGTTCAAAACTGATTACTTTTGGAGTGAAAATGAAAAATTGCAACCAAATTTATACCTGTTTATAGAAAAGTCCTTTCTCTGCATCTACAATAATTGGAGAGTCAACAAAGTTCTTCACCCAGTTGGGTCCTCCCTCCATGTTGAGAGCTATGTTCCAGTCCACCCATCCAACAGCCCAGTTGGACAAGTCCTGAAGAGTTACATGGAACAATATCAGAAACATTGATATTAAACATAAGCAGTGAAATAGGTCCACTCCACTCAAAGTTGCTTCAGTTATTTCTCTTCATGGTAGCTCTTGGTCAATACGTGCGCTTTGATCAGTAAATTTAGCGGGACATATTTTACTGTGCAGCCCGCTAAATTTAAAAAGTTGTTTGAATTTGTCCCTTTAATCTTTCCCCTCTATTTGAACTCGGAGATAAAATAAATATGACAATCTTACTTTCCTCGTTTTCCTCGTGAGTTACGGAACCTCGTTTGTTCCGCTTAGATTTATGGCCCGCGCGCTTTGTCCTTAAATTCAAGCCAGGGAAAAAATTCGGTCCGTAACTTAAAGTTCAGACAGAGAACGAGGTTAATAAAAAGGTACTAAAAATTAGCGTTTATCTTCACTAACTAATTGTTTGCAAACTGGTCTCCTACCTTACACTTTCACTTATGAGGCAATTTCAACATTTTTTTCCCCTATCTCCCCCTCCCCAACCCTTTTTTTTTCCGAAGTCACATGTGACACTGTGACGCTTGCGACGAAAGAGGAAACTTCGAGGGGTGTCGCTATGCGTGTTTTCTAAGTGTCGCTGATGTGGGACTATTTTACCGGTCGTAATGAAACCACGAAAACCAAGATGACTATCAACGGTGTTTATTAAGATCACGGTCACGATCACGATCGTAAACTGAAATTGCAATAATATTATAACGAAAGCATGAATGAAACGCTTTACGTGCCTATGTCGATAACGCGATTAAAATAACAACAATTAACGTGAATTAACATAAACAAATCATAAAAGGCTAAATTAAAACTACTCGAGAATCAAAGATCAGCTACACAATGACCATTTGCGGCTGGTTAACAGCCCAAAGACTAAAATGTGGGCGTTACTTTGCGAGCGTCTAGTTATTTCAAAATATTCCTTCGATTTCAAGATAATTAGTTGTACTGTTGTACAACACAGTACATACGTGCGCTATCGCCCAAGGTGAAAAACTAAACTTAAACATATATAATTAAAACTAACAAAAATCACTTACATATCGGTCCCGCTTGTGCCAAAGGTTTGGAACGAAAGACGAAGTTATTGCTGTTCAAGGTGAAATCTTACGAAACTCTGGCTTAAAGAGACGCTAATTTAGCTTTTATATGCGCGTGGTGACGCTAAAATATCCGATTACTAACCAATAGGGAAAAAGATAAACATTGTAACTAAGATCGTAACTAGGCACGCAAATTAAAGTAATTGACAATTGATCTAACAAAAAAAAAAGGCTGTTCTTTGTTCGATATCCTTAACAGACACATTTGTCCGTTCCATAGGGCATTGTATTAAACCGTTCAATTAAGAATTGGTACAAATTCCAGCAGTGTAATTTTACTGACTGAATTTGAACTGAATATGTCTGTTTGTGCGGGCGATCGATGGGCTCCAAAATAAAAGAGTGAATCAGGTTAGTGCACAATTCTAAATGTGTGCTTCAACACGCGGTAATGTAAGATAATCACGGAGGTTGCGTATGAAACCCTAAACCCACAACAGAGCCGAAAATACATCTTGGGCTGTCCGTCATAATGACTGTCTTTTGTGACCAGTGTTCTCCAACCATAAAAATCCGTTGTTAGCAAAGGTTCAAACATACTGCAAATGAAGACAAGTGCCGGTTTCTTAGAAGATTTGCAACCCCCAAGATTTGGTCCGCCTTTACCGATAATATATAGATTTAGCCATGCCTAAAAGCGGAGCTCGCATTTTTTTTCCCGCACGTCTCAACGCCTTGCCCGAATGATCGAATGATCATTCTGCGAGAGCACACATGCTAAATATTCTACAGAAAAGATACAAACTTTTTACCTTTAGCTTGTTTACCATTTGTTTTACAAATAGAAAACACAGAAGAAACCAACGGACAACAAAGTACATATTTAATACTTCACAACAGAAGTAAAATTGTTACAGCAGCATTCTGTCACCGCGCTTTGCAAACAAGCATGAATTTTTTACCAAAAGGCAAGGCACTGACCGTATTCAACGCGCAAATGTACATTTACCCCAAATGCGCAATTGTGAGTTTGCTGGTCTGCTAGAATAAAACGTTTTGACAATTTTTCTGGGAAATATGGAAAGCATGCAATAATAGGAATCAAACTCAACTTAATACTTGGCTCTGTAGCATCACTGATGGTGAATTCGAATGATTTTCTTAAAAACAAGTATTCGCGTGGATTCGCAGCATTAAAATAATTAAGGACTAAGCTTATTTTTGATTGTTGATTGTTTAGCTTATAATTCACGTCAAAGCGCGATGCTAATTATGTGAGATATTGTTAATTTGGTTTCATCAACTGTGTTGATAACATAAATTGGCCACAGCAGAGAGTTTCTAAAGCTACAGTAACGTTCGTTTGTTACATCTGTAAAATAAAAGTGTGAAACTAAAGAGGTTTACATAATCCTGAAAGCGCGATGCTAATTATGTGACATAATTTGGTTTTCCCACCTGAGTTGATAATGTAAAGAGTTTCTAAAGCTAGCTTAATTAATGTTAGTTGGTTACGTGTGAAAATAAGAGTACCGAAAAGCACGACCTCTCATGTTAACTAATGACAGGTTCAATTTATACATTAAAGACAAAATGCTAAGATGTGGTGGATGAAGCATTCCCTATTTTCAACCAGGACTGAGTTTAATCTACATTTTGTCAGCATAATATACCACATCAGGACTTCAGTCTTGCGTATTCTGTAACCTGCGTTTATACCTTACTTAAAAAGTTAAATAATGCGTTTTGTGTTAATGAAAGCTTCGTGTATTACTAATTTTATTATTACTTTTGCATACCCTCACCAAAACTTTATACTTTTGCAATTATTTCGAGATTTTTTTGTCTATTTTATTTTAGAATTGATATAATACTCGTTTTTCTAAGATTTACATGACAAAGAAGAAAATATCACGCAACGAAATTCATTTTCGTTAAGTCTGGGTGAGACATAGTAACGTCAGTCCAGGAATCCGTTCAACTCCAACCTTACGGTTTCAGTGTAAAAAGGATAATTTTAATAATATCTGTACTTCAGAACAGTTTAATTCTAGTGGCGTGGTCATACATGTACAAATAAACACTGCGTAGAGCTGGGAAAATGAAAATTACTTTTGTCTACCTCACTTGACAACAATGGCAGTACTCAGCAGATTGCTTACATAACTGGACGATATTGATTTACAAAACTTCACAAGAATGATTTATATGGTACATGGCAAAACTATGGCCGGCATCCCTTCTTATGGACGGAGCTGATTGTCTTTTCGAAGATCCTAGTAGAATTGTTTTCATCGTTGCGCGAACCCCCTTGATCCGCCATGAATATAGCAAAGGATTCAGCGAGGAGTTTATGAAAACCAAACTCCAAGAAATCTCGAATGCAATAACAAGCGAAGAGTTTGTTTTGAACTCAGGAAATATAATTGCTATGGAGATATATGGAATATAACAGCACAAAAAAATCAAGTACACATAAAACGTGTCGAGAAATGAATTCCGCAATCGTAAAATGTTTGCAAATCTTGTGACAGGAATTCTGCTTGTGTGTCGTTGTTGTTCTGTTATCTCCCTCCTATGCCTGCGTACCACGCAATAAATCTTGAAGTAGATTACAGTATTTATCACGAAGAAAGCGAGCGCCATGACAGAGGCAATGTATTCATCGTGTGCAGGTAGAAATACGGTCATTGTGCAGAGGGAAAACGCAGACATGCAAGCAAAACCAAGAAAATAGGAGACACGACGAACAGTTATAAGTTCTCTGTAACGTAGATGAAGACGCAAAGCTAAGTATCTGTCGACACTGAGGGTTGTGACGGTCAAAAATGAGAAAGAACACAGAGCACACGATAAAAACAGTGTAAGTGAATCGAGAATTCCTTTTCCCCAGTTGTCCTTGGAGAAAAATTGGTTGAATCTCCACACGATGTACAAAGGTTGGACGATTACGCCCACACAAAGATCAGAGACCGCCAGTCCGATTAAAATAACATTAGACGGTGAAATGAGTGAGCGGTTCTTAGCAAACGAAGCTAAAACCAGCGAATTTCCCGCAACGGCAACTAAACAAAATGGAATGTTCAGGGCAGCATTAATTACAAAAGGCACCGGGTTTTGGTCCATTTTCAGTGCTGCAACTCCGCTTGATAACGTATGCCAGTCATAAAAAAGCAACCTGAAATATTTTTGTCTGCAACTCCGTTCGATAACGTATTCGGTTAAAAAAAAAGAAGCAACCTCAGCTAAATAGTTTGATCAACGAAGGTATTCCATGGATACAGAGGTTCGTTTTCTTCCAGTCACCGTCGTCGTTATAGTGATATTTGCTCAATTTGACGGTACAGCCTTAGGTTGAAGGCGATTTCTATTTGCATCTTAAGTTGCTTCTTCTGCAGCTGCATTTTTTTTGTTCCCCGGCACACCTCTTATAAAAGACAGAAGAGGATGACGGGTACTTAATACAAGGGGTCCCTTGAAGCTTTTGTCCAAGCGGCACCAGAAACCACAAGTTTTGCATAAATATTCTCGCAACAGCTAGAATTAAAAAATGACGGAAAAAACGTCTTTAAGTATCCTGAACCTCTGCGAGTTATACAATATGCACGACATTGCAAAATGTATACACTTCGTCGGAAGATGTGATACATGACAGGCCGAACTGCTCTAGACAGCAAATAAACCTGTCATCTTTGCTCAAAATTTGACAGCTTTTTTTTTTCATCGCTTGTCCATGGCTTCGTTTGAAAGTAATATAGTGTCGTACGAAGGAAATTTCGTTAACTCCCTTCTTTGTGGCAATCCGTCCGCTAAATATTGCAACGAAATGAGTGGTTCTCAAGTTATCCACTTTAATTAAAATGAAAATTACACATATTACGTCGAAAAGTTAGGTTAAATTCAGGAATCAATGAAAAATGGTTTCCAAACAAAGAAATCATCTTTGCGGATGAAATGCAATTTCAGCTTTGTAAAAAAAAAGCTTAGAAAAAATCAAGCTTCGACGCGATTCGAACCCATGCCTCCTGGATATTAGTTGGGCGGTTGTACCAACTGACCCAGCTCTACGCAGCCGCTCTTTAGAAGCTAGGCAAATTTTTTAGTTAGTCCGCTAAATCACTCTCTATCTGACGAATAAGTAACAAAAAGGGAAACGACTCTAGACGATAAACACATCCGCCGAAAAGTTACCAGCGCGTGTCAATAAATGTTTTCATGCTCATAAAAACAGCTATTTGCTCTGTGAATTTTCCAGGTTAAGGAGCGGTTTTTTTTTTTTTGCGAACATTTGAGTCGATTAAAAAACCGCGATTAAAACATTGCTTTGAAAGCATTAAGTAAATCAAACAAAAGAACTTGAAAACGACATTTTCACGTCCAGAAAATGTCAACATTATTATCAAGTCAAAAAATAAGAGCTGCTGTGAATGTAAAAAATTCTTAGTAAAACAATACTTCATTAAAAATGGTATAGAAATTTTTAAAATTGTCTCTAAACAAAGACTTAAAAACGGATGGTATCGGCGTAGATATTAATATAGGGATTCCATTCTTTTATGAAGAGTGTCCCGTAAATGAAGCATTCAAATTTTCCTTGACACTTTCTAGAATTAGAAATCGACCTTCCAAGGTTGATTGGGAAATCAGCCAAGTAAATGAAAGACTAATATTTTTTTCCCTGAAGTGAAAAGTAAACCTTTTCAGTATAGGGTACCTGCAATAACATTGTCATAGGAAAAAACACATTGTAATTACAAAAAAGGAACAAGTCTAAAAAGGGATTTATTTACTATATTTAATTTAGCATTTAAAACTACTCTCGGGCCATAACTGCCCGGAAGCAGGAAATTTTCTCAAAATTTCCACTTTCGAACTTTTTGAGAGTATCAGATGTTGTTTAGAAATTTCAAGCGATTTCAATAATTAAAAAAAAATTGTACGCTAACGCCGGATTTTTTTCTTTTTTTTTCTGCTTTTTTCTGTAACATCGTCACTGGCAATTAGGTGTATCTACTCCTAAAAAGAAGGGAAAGAAAATTGCGATTTTTCTTTTGTGGAGACAAGTTTAATACTTTAGTGCTGATAAATCATTTGTTGACCTGCTATGGAGCTGCGCCGCTAAGTTAACTTTGAACTAAAAACACCCTTTGGTTTAATATAATACATATAACACCGAGCGAACACAAACGAGCGAAGAGAAAAGATGATGTGACAATTACAAAGCAGAATAGCTCACTTAAAATAAATGAACCTCAGCTCCAAATTTAGAAAACCGGTTTTCCTTATTAACGTCTACAACTACTGGCACCATGAAAACGAATTTTTCATAACCAGCAGACCAAACAGAATGATGGATCGAAACGGAACAATCAGAGCTGAAATACCTTAATACAATCTTGAGGCAAATTTCAATTAGAAAAATTTCCACGAACAGGATCCTATAACACTCGACTGACTAACATTTACTCTCTTAAATTTGACTATGACTTACGCTGGGGTTGCCAAAACGTCGGTCACTATCGAGTATTAGACAAGACTTCCTTACAGCCCAATACTTCATTATGCATAAAGTATTGGATAAAAAAAATCAATGGCAAATCAGTAGATCACCTTGGGACCTGGGCTTTGTTTAGAATAATATAGGTTATACGGATATCTTTCCAAATATAGTGCGATAGTAAGAACGGTAGAGGTATTTTCTTTTTTGAATTTTCAGCGCCTATTTTGCGATTAAAGGGCAGGCCATACAAAAAAAAACTAGGGAAAGAAAAAAAAACTTGCAAAATCTGAGCAAAATTAACCGCGTCTACAAATTTAAGTTGTAAAAAAAGTATCTTTCCTGGCTCAGTTCTTCAATAGTTTGATTAAAACTCGTAACGATGGTGAATAACCAGATATAAAACACAATGTTAATCATTCTCATCTCAGCCTTTCATGAAAAACCATAGATTCCAAGGTGTGTCTATAATGAGATCAAGCAGAGCACAAACCTCAATTATACTATGGCTGTACCGATTCCCTCTCGCCCAGTTCCCCAGGCTGACTATAGGAGGTTTGGAGAGGTGGGGATCAATACAGGCTTCGGTAGCAAGAATGAAGTAATCAGGAAACCTGACAAAGAGAAAAGAAATAAGTTTCCTCTACAATATTAGTAAAACAATTTCTTTAAGTTAATGTAATTACCATTTTACATTTTTAAATTTGCAACTTAAGTTATCAATCAAATTAGAGTCAACTTTGTCAACTTTAATCTTGAAATTTAGCCAGTAAATTCTCAGTTCCCTCAATTTCAATCCTATCCTTTTCCAGGAAAATTTTCTGAAAATTGCTACTAGAAGTTTGTATAAGTAGATTAGTTATATCCTGTCTATGTCTATATCCTAGCCTAATTGTTCTTTCGAGGATAATGATTTATCAAAAAGGTGTATTAAATGTTCTTGCAAAGAAAAATACAATGAGTCGTACATTAGCCCTTGTAAGGTCACTTTGTGTTCTCTGGCACAGGAATCTTTTCTCCTCAAATTTACACCATGCAATAACCCTTTATATCTTAAGAATGATAAGCATCTGATTTCTCCAAAGAGTATCAGATCTGAATAAAACATGTAGGTCATGAAAATAAAGGAAATGATTAGGAACTCAAGTTAAAACGTCCATGATTGTCAGATAGATTATCCATAGCTAATGTATAGAGAACATTAGGAAGAACTTGCATACTGTTGCCAGGGTTTTAAGGCTTGAAAGATAATAATAGTAATAATACCCATTTAACCCTTTACACCCTAACATCAGTAAAGGTAATCTCCATACTGTTCCCTATACATTCCCTAAGGTGCTGACTAGGAGAATTTGTGCAACAATCAAGAGCCTCTTTTACTACTGATAGTTTTCTTTATTCTCATGACCTTACTGCATGATTCAGGGGTGATATTGTAAGGAGAAATTAGATGTTAGTCATTCTTAGGGGTTAACGGGTTAACAGATAACCTAGATCACAGCAATCACCTGTTGTGAGTGTCACTCAGCGCTTTGGCAGGAAGAAATATATCTTCATACCAGTGAACACCAATTCCAGCAACATACTTAGCAGCATCTGGATCAGTAAGAATAGTGTTTGCCCATGACTTCAAAAACATGCGCTGATCATCAAGCATGATTATCTTCACATCAGCATGGCCACGAGCTGATAGCATAGGCCCTAAGTCCTCCTTGATAAAATCTCTCTCCATTGCAGCTGTGTATCCCATACACTGAAATGAAAAACTGGAAGAAAGGAAGATAAAGAATAAAAAATAAATTTCATCTATGGCACTAAAATGCAGATGTTGTTGTTTCAAATAAATTTGGGTTGAAATAATTTCAACCAGTTTAATTCTTTTGTATTTTTCTTCTTTATAAGTATAAAAATGTCTCTAGAATGAAAAAAAAATGTTGAAAATAATTTTTAGATAAAATCAATTTTACTTTTAAACATTTGTATGCTGACGTAGATAAATGCTATTTACTTCACAATGGTTTTAGGACTTTTTTTCTGAAATGACACCAAAGCCATGTTCTAGTGTCCCATTTAATGATTGTACTTACAGTTTGTAGTAAGTGCTTGATGTAAACAAAATCTTTACTATGATTAGAGTTAGGGTTTAGAGTATTACAAAATTCAATGCAGAGAAAGAAAACTATGTGATATGCTTTCATCATCAGAAGATGAGGAAACAAAATTCTAATAGAATGAACTCAAAATTTTTACCCTTTAATCAATCATTATCAAGGAAGTAAAAATGGATCAAAATTGTCTGGTCACAGCTTTGGATTATGACCTCACAAACCCTTGTAAACAACACAAGTCTACCTTACAATGCAAAAAGTCTTCAATATAATTTCTAGCAGCATAGAATGCACTTTAAACCATGCTTCTACACAACTTTAAAGCTTGCCCATTATTAAAAAGCACAGAATAATGATTATCTTACAATGGAATAAATCCATCAGATGGCTCATTTTGTGCTGTAACTGCCCAGATCTTTATTCCCTTCTCCTTGTATGCCTCAATAAACTTGGCAAAGTACAAAGCCCATGCTTTGTGGTTTTTATCTCCTGCCTTGCCCTTTAATTGACCAAACCCAGTCATCTTGTTATTTGTTTTCATCCATGCAGGTGCAGACCATGGACTTCCAAAAAATGTGATGTTTTTCTTACTCATCTTCATCGCTGTCAACATCAGTGGAATTTTCAATTTTACATCTTCATCAACCAAGCTAAAGTTGGCCATCTCAAGATCACCAACATGATCATTGTAGGAGTAAGGTCTTGTAGAAAAATCACAACTAGCCATAGGAATACGTCCAATGTTATACTCAATACCTTCCTCTGAGAAATATGAAGAAAGAAGTTTCTGCCTCAAGGCTGTGCTGATGTTGTAAATATTAATTGAGGCAGCATCTGTAAGAAGACACAGAAGAATTAATTGGCCTCTATCATGCCGAGCCAATGAAAAAACACTGATAACTTTACTTTAATCATTGTTGAAAGATGCAGCCATCAGAAGATTAAAAAGCTTGATACACAACACAATGTATTCTGATCAGTAACATATGTCTCCTTGCACAACTTAACCCTTTGACTGCTATGAGTGACTGGCATCTAATTTCTCCCTAAATTATCACCCCTGAATCAAACATTAAGGTAACAAGAATACAGGAAATGATCACCAACTAAAGAAGCTCTTGATTGTTAAACAAGTTCTCCTTGT